TAGAACAGAATAACCAAAGATACTTAACAATGTTCAAATATCTTCAATATAATGACAATTACACTTTTAATCATTAATCAAAGTTTCCAACATTTACATATTTTACGAGAAAAAGACACGGGGAAAGGTGTTTATAAAAGAAATGCTGTAGTTTGACACATTGTACTTCCTATATATACTGAGAGGCAATGAAAGCGCAATCAGCATTTTCTATCGTATAATAGTCCCATAAGAAAAAAACAGTACCTTAGCATGACAATGGTCTAATTCTGTTGTGTGTAAAGACAGGTAGTTCTGTGCACAACGTCATGAGCAAACCGCCAAAACACATCTCTAAGTGCCAGTCTGCCATGCACATGCACGACATGCATTTTGATACTACATGCAAACAGTCCATTATTGTCCCTATAATCTCATTTAGTGCTTAACACTCAATGCGTTTATTGAAACCATTCACACTTACTTTCAGTTCATTCTTCCCGCTCTTTTATGTTTGCTTACGTCACTTCCAGTCACGTTAATTCCAATGACGTCATGTGTCTACTTCTGATGACGTCATCTTTTGTTCATCCATTGATTTCTTTTAGATTCACACAGTGAGTCTATCCTCTTTGTATCCTGCTTTAAGTTATATTTTCGCTTCCCTCCCACCCTTCCCTTGCTAGCCATCTCTTTCTTCTTTCTGTTAACAGATTGTATATTATTGGCAAAGGGCTTGTAATTTCTATGTATATATGCCGGTGTCAATAAATGTTAGGTGGCCTGGATCTTCGAATGGGCTGCAATCATTAATACTTAGGCAATATTCAAAATTATGGCAGGACAGCTCTTCAGCCGGAATCTGTTTAACCCTTCTGCTTCTCAGCGGATAGGAATCTTTTGGCTTTGCCTTATTATTGTCTGCTTTTCAGCAGAAATGCGATTGCTCTATTTGCTGCTGGCAACATTGTTGCCCATTGCTGCTGCTGGCAACATTGTTGCCCATTGCTGCTGCTGCTGCTGCTGCTGGCAACTGTAGTTGCCCATCCTAACATGCTCATTGTTTATTAGGGCAGCCCACAGATCAGCCTCACCTCTGACCTTGAACCCAATATTCTCTTCTTGTTATCTTTTAATGCTTTCCTTCTCAAGGCATATATAAGTATCTTCTTTAGCTAAAGGATGTGTTTCAATAAAACTTGACATTGGCACCCATATGAACCATGCCACGGTTAACGCAAGATCAGATGGACGCCAACGTGTTTATCGACGTCAAGGTGAAAGTTTTGTGCGACCCTGTGTTATTCGGAGAGATACTTTTGGTGGAGAAGGAGTAATAGTTTGGGATACCATAGATCGTCCTTTTCGTTCACAGCTTGTTATTGTGCAAGGCAACGTGACGGCGCGGCGTTACATGGAGACTGTTCTTCAGCCAGTTCTTCTTCCTCTCTTGAGGCAGCATGGTGGTAATCGACTAGTGTTTCAGCATGGCAATGCTCGGCCACACACCGCCATCCTGACACGGAATATCCTTAGGAACAACAATGTGGAAGTCACGCAGCGGCCCTCCGGGTCACCAGACATGTATCCATCAGAGCCCCTGTGGGACGAACTTGGTGGACATCAGCAGATTCCATCCCGCAATGTTGCTGAGTTCACAAAGCAGAATCATTGGAACGCTATTCCGAATCATTTCATCTGTCGTTTGTGTCATTCCATGCCAAGACGTTTGCAAGCTTGTGTTCGTGCTCAAAGTGGACACACCAGGTACTGATAGTCTGCTCAGTCAGTCACGTGTAAATATGTTGAAACTGGTCTGGTGAGAAATTCTCTACTGTGATTGGACTTTGCCGGCATACATATCATATGCTTTGTCATTTTCCTATGTTAATGCAGTTGACCTTTGAAACTGGAATTGCGTTTTCATTGCCTCTCAATCATAATTACAAAAATGCCTACAACTCTTCAGCCCAAACCACTAAACCGACCGGTGCTTCAAGATCATGCAGATACATGTACATCAAATGACATTATATTTAAAAGCCATTGCCAAGTCTTTCCACATGGGACGCTACTTTTAAAAAGTAAGGAATGCCTCTAATGTATAACGTAACATATGTTATATTTGGGATTACACTTTCTTAGTAAAGTACAGATTCTAGTACTTTTTGGTTTGAGTCCCCATCCGATTCGAACCCACACCCTCTGAGAGTTGTCACTGATATACCAACTCAACCTTTACTAAGAAAGTGTAATCCCAAATATAACACATGTTACATTTGACCACTTTCTAAATGGCATTGTGCAACCATCCCCTAATGTAGTTCTGTACCTTTCCCATCGATTGACCAAGTTATCATTGACCAAATACTGACTTTCATCAGGAAACCGCTATAAAAAGTGAGCGATGGAGTTGGCTTAAAGCACTTTCAACAGATATCAGTAATATCAGGGCGTATCTGCTTAATAGGGGAGGATATCCCGAAGTCGTACTGGTCACCGATGTTTACCATTATGAAACTCACGACCACGGTAAAGTGCTGACATACCTTGAAACATAATCAGAGCAAACACAAATTCGAACCCACAACCACAGTATCTGGTGCCCAAAGGACTTCGAGTTGCCTTGAACCGGGTCATTGTCACCGTGTGATACGATGGAAGAGCATGTGTTTATGAATCACTATGAAATAGAGATGATACCAGGTGTTCGCGAAAAGGTGAGCGTACCCTGCCTCACCGGTGGCACCCGTCATAAACATATGCTAGTCTAGTCATTTGTTCACCTGAAGTAATTCGGAAACGTATGGTAGAAGCCGAAATAGGGAATTGCATCGGACATCATTTTTGTGACTGATGCATCAAATTTGAAAATTTCCTCCACCTGTCTACCATAAAACATCTTGAAAGCTTTACTGACGCCTTGAATGTTGTAACCTTGATCAAACAACTTCTGGGCAAGAGTGGCATGACGCTCTTTGAAATCCTGATAAAAAGAGCACGCTCGATTGTACCTCAAAAGTTGTAAAATGTAAGCACCAAAGGCTGGAGCTGTTGGAATATTGCTCGACAATGAAAGGGAAGTTGACTATTGGGAAGTTGAAATCATACCTTTTGTCATACAGCCGTGTGAAGAGATTTGTGTCACTCTGGATCTTTATGCATAGATCTAAATATGAAACAGCTGAGGCAGTCAGTAATGACGCAATCTGGGTCGCTGGATGGAAAGATTCACATTTGTCATATGAGTTTACGAGGACAGTCAAGTCAAATATCTGAGCATGTATAACCACATGCATACGAAATACTATTCCAAAAATATTTATAATAATAATGATTAATGTTATCTTTTAAGAACCACAAGTTGTGCTGCAGTAATCAGCCTTGTACTGAAGGAAGTATATCAATAAAGAATGAGTAAGTGAGTGAGTATGGTTTTACTCCGCTTTTAGCAATATTCCAGCAATTTCACAACAGAAATGAGCTTCACACAGTCCTTATGTGAGGAATCGAACCCGGGTCTTCAGCATGACGAGCGCTTTAACCACACGGCTACCACCCTAAAATATGAGTGAATTGGGTTCAATGCTTATTTGAGAGGTATTCTAGTTACAGAACGGCGTGCTTGCTTAATATGGATGGGAGGCCCAAAGTGATGCAGGTTTCATGCGTGTACTAATTTGGTGAATACCACCAGCACGGATAAGGTGTTGACAAACATTGAAAAATAACGGGTGTGAATTGGGATTCGAACACACAATCAACATTTCTGACGTCCCCAAGGGATGCAACTCCGTGGACGAGCGAAGTCATTTCATATGGTTGGATACCACAGGGTAAATGGAGGGAAATCATTCAAATGGTCATATACGAGTTGGTATCACATATAACACAAACTATTCTTATGCATGGGCGGGTGGGACATCCTAGTGGTAACAGACCATCCCACTGTAGGCCAGTTTTCATGCCATTCACATGATTATCTGGTCCAGACTCCATTAATCAAAGACCACCGTCATATACCTGGAATGACTGAAAGCTGAGAGCGGCGTGAAACGAGTGAGTATGGTTTTACACCTGGGGACACCAGAAATGGGCTTCACACAATGTACCCACGTGGGGAATCGAACCCAGGTCTTCGGCGTGACGAGCGAACGCTTTAACCACTAGGCTGCCCCCACCGCCCTTAAAAAGGGCGTTACGCAGCAAACAAACATACAAGTAAAAAAACAACTACGTTTATAACGAACACGGTTATAACGAACTGACGGATATAACGAACTGACAGATATAGCGAACTTGCGGATATAACGAACTGACGGATATAACGAACTGACATATATAACGAACTGACAGATATAACAAACTGACGGATATAACGAACTGACAGATATAACGAACTGGCGGATATAACGAACTGACAGATATAACGAACTGACAGATATAACGAACTGACGGATATAACGAACTGACAGATATAACAAACTGACGGATATAACGAAATGACGGATATAACGAACTGACGGATATAACGAACTGACAGATATAACGAACTGACGGATATAACGAACTGACGGATATAACGAAGTGACAGATATAACGAACTGACGGATATAACGAACTGACAGATATAACGAACTGACAGATATAACAAACTATTTGTATTCCAGCCACTTGTCATATGTTTAGTCGATATGCGTATAACGAATTACGATAATAACAAACTACAACTACAGGACCATTCGAGTTCGTTATAACCGTAAGTTATATATACGAGCATGTGAAACATTGCAAGGAAATGCAACGCATATGGGATACGAGCGTCGCGCGTTTAATGCTGTTACAGTGCACTTGGGCACTGTTTCACAAAGCGATCGTAACACTTGTAGTGTCGTAACCCCATTGCTTTAACATAGAGTTACGACAGTCTTAGAGCTAAGATGGCTTTGTGAAACAGGGCCCTACTTTAAACTTGTGTGATGTCCAAGAGCCGTTGCACCGAGATGTCTGATAGGATCTGAATGGCGTCGGTGGCCCGTGGCACGCCCTTGTGTGGACTTGTTCAGGACTACAGGGGTACTAAAATAACCGCGTTCAAAGCCTCACAGAATACGCCCGAGGTACACGTGGATAGTATAACCACTGACAATACAGAGTGTAACTACACGCAGGAAACATGTTTCGGAGGCTGTTCCAATCCACTCGTGTGCTAGAGACCGGGTATAGGTACAAGCACACCAGTCCAACATCATCCAAACCGGTGGCAATTGTTACAGGTTAGTAATGCTTTCTCGAGGTTATTCCCAGTAAAATGGGAAATTCATTTAAAGGCCTTTGATGTATGTGTTTTGTCACTTTTTGGAATAGGGAAATCAATGTTATACAGATGAATTTTCTTAATTGACGCTGTAAGTCCTTCTGCGGGTCCAAAACTCTTTAATAAACATAACACATGTTACAAAACTTTGAAGTCTGAATATGCCGTGCTTCATGTGAAGTGAGCGTTAGGATGATACTATCCTTGTACTTTTAATCCCACAAGTTACAAATCCATATAGGCTTTAACAAGATACTGTCATTATTATGACAAGGATCAATATTGTCAGCTTTCGGTTTTACTATTCATTAATAATTTACGTTTCAGGGTTACTTCTCGTTCCTCCTGGTTAATGACATGATTAAAGAACATGATATAATATGACGCCAGATATAATTGTGTACATATGAGTGAGAGAGTGAGTGAGTGGTTTTACGCCGCTTTAGCAATATTCCAGCAATATCACGGCGGGGGACACCAGAAATGGGTTTCAAACATTGTACCTGTGTGGGGCGTGACAAGCGAACGCTTTAACCACTAGGCTACCCCATCGCCCCACATGTGAGTGAGCTGGCAGTGACAAGGGGCGGGATGTGTGTTTTACAGAAATTATAGTCTTATGTGTTTTTTATGGCATTGATACACTATTTACATAAACGGTCGGTGGCCTAAGGGGCGAAGAGATTGACTTAGATTAATAATACCCCTCACTTGATTTACGTTTCGTTTTAAATTTAAAACGTCTTAAATAAGCTATCAGGTGTTTTTGTAAATCAACTGTTCTAAACTAGTGTCAGCATTCAAAACTACATCTACATAGTAAAATGCTTTCAAATTTATTTATTTTTTCACCCAATTACAAAATCTTAAAGTCAAGGTATTTCATTAATAATATACAAATTAAGGGTACCAAACGTTTCTGATCTGGAGAATTTATAGTGCCATTTAGAAAGTGGTAATCCCTAATATTACATATATTACACTGATCAGGAGAGTTAAATATCGACTTTTTTGAGTGGCATTTTAGAAGCTCGGAAGTACAAACTGGACAAACTTTATGGATAACAACTTCTTTATTTCGTGAGTGCGACGTTTATTATTGACAACGGTACAAGAGTTTCAAGTTCAAGTTTCAAGTTTATTTTGTAACCAGGCCTTAGGCCCACGTACAATACAAATAAACATGTCTAATTATAAGATAGTGGCATTTGACAATCAGATTCATATGTATAAAGAACGCAATGACAATGCTTCTTTAATGTACGAAGAACAATATGTTAGTGTTGAAAAGTTGGTACAAGATAATGTGTTCAGAAAATATTGTTGATCTATGTAATTTGGTAATGATTTAAAATATTTACAGTGCAAATCATGATAAACTTTACATTCAAATAGGAAATGAAATTCATTTTATACCAACTTCTCATTACAAATATTACAAAGTCTTTGGTGCCTCGGAACTCCATCAAATCTACCAGTATTTTTATATATTGGATGTGCACCGATTCGTAACATTGTTATTCGACGCCTCGCATCTTTAGATTTCAATAAAGTAGATTTCAACGGTACAAGAAGCTGTATCGAAACGTCGCACTCACGAAATAAAGTAGTTGTAATCCATAAAGTTTGTTCAGTTTTGTACTTTCTGAGCATCCACACAGTCTGGGAGCGTTAGAACCAACAGCATACTGGTTATCTCGGGTATGTTAATAAAGAGACTACTTAGGTCAAACCTGCGTCTCATCTTCAGCTATGTCCTCTTCTAGCTAAGTGTTGTTATTGAGGCCTGTCTTTCCACGCAGAGAATTGAGCCGCATCGGAATCTCGCCGGAGGGTTTTCTACATCTGCTGAGATGACTGTAAACATACGTTCTGTTTGATAAACATTTTCGCAGTACAGTTAGTACTTATTATATCCGGGGCGGTGTGGTAGCCTTGTGGTCAAGGCGTTCACTCGTTATGGCGAAGGTCCGAGTTCGATTTCTGACATGGGTACAATATGTGAAACCCATTTCTGGTGTCCCCCGCAGTGATATTACTGGAATATTGCTAAAAGCGACATAAAGCCCAACTGACTCCCTCAATCTTAATATATCTATTTCTTCCTGTCTGTTGTGTAAGAGATGCTTCTTGTCGGTTTTACAAAGGTCTTTTCACATATAGAGCAGCCGACGTACTTCGGGTTAATATTTGTGGTTAATGGGAGTAAACCGACTTGTTCTAAGCAGAAGCACGATAGATGAAAACCCGCGACCGACCTTCTACTTTGATGAAGAACTAATTTACAGATTAGATAGGGCTAAAGATATTTCGCTATTGCGTCCTTTCACATGCTATAGGATTTTATCATATCCTGTGATTTGTGATCAAAATCTATACAGCTACAATTTAGATCTTTTCATTGGAATAGTTTTGGTCTTCGTGAACAAACCCTCAAGAAAACATAGTGTCCTTATACACATACAATTTTCACAAAGTGACTTCAGTTACAATGACATGTACATGGTGTAAGTATAGGGGAGTTATACTCCCTGTCTGTATGCGCGCGCGTGCGTGCGTGCGTGTGTGTGTGACCTCTCTGTCGTCGTTCACAATCACCCTTAGCTTACATGCCATGTTATGACCGAAATACTGTACGAGCCTACATTTTGTTGAACTCCCTCCCATTTGAAAAATGAAATTTAATCTTCTGAACTATTCAACACAGCAGTATTCGCAAAAATTTATAGCCCGGATATCTTCTAAGAAAGTCAATTTAATGGAGACTGATCAATTGAATATCGAATTCAGCATTGAATGCAAGATGCTCATTAGCCATCTGAACCGTTGAAAATGAGGTTTTAATACATTTATCGCTGAAGGCTGCACAGAAGGTGTTATATTTGCTTTGAATATGGCGTTCTGTTGTGTATATTATCGCGGCTTAACCATTATATATGACGGTCTGATGTATGAATGCTGGTGACGGGATACCCTCCCGTGTAATAACGAAACCAAGTTAGAAGATGCTACGCACCAACCCACGTGGCTACATCAGTACAATACTCTATCACGCTACGTTAAACCCCATCTCACCTCTCTTCACCTGAATGATTATAGAGTTTCCGTAAACTGTGTTACAGGGGGCGGTGGGGTAGCCCAGTGGTTAAAGCGTTCGCTCGTCACGCCGAAGACACGGGTTCGATTCCCCACATGGTTACAATGTGTGAAGCCCATTTCTGGTGTCCCCGCCGTTAAGGCCATATATAAAATATTCTTGTTTCTCATTACCGCCCGACCCAAAAATTCGACCCTATCCTAAGATTTATTTTGTTTTTTTAACACTAGAGAAAATGCAACTTTGACTCTCAAAATGTGCATGAATTTTTCACACTTCTAAGTTTTGATTTTCTATCGGAGAAAAAGTGTAAATTTCCACAGAAATCAAGGGTTTTTTTACATAAAAAAAAAAATGTGTAAAATAAAATCCGCCCGCCCGACCCATATTTTGTTTGAAAAAGTGATGAGAAACAAGAATATTTTTATGTGGGCTACAGTTGTGAAAACTATAATTTGTTCAGAATTGTATGATAAATTTTCTTCATTTTCAGATTTTATGTTTGGATGGCGACCTGTCGAAGAACCAAGTACTAGAGAATATACCAGCACAAACACTGAAGAAATTTGGAAGAATAGATGCACTAGTAAGTGTAACCGACATAAGTATCAGCGAGCACATTCTCAGTAGAAGGGTTTAAGTGTATAAAGGAAACATCATTCAGTGTGTACCCAGTGAAGCATGGGATGAACTGAACAGAGTGACTAGGTTCCACCAAGTAATGCTTTGGCAAGTGATGATCATTGTATTGTGCTACAATGTTGATAGCAGCCTACTTGACAGGTTAAGCCAGCATCCTATCAAATCTTTGAAAATATGTCATGAGCTTGTAACATCAAAGTGTGTACTTTCTTGACGGGAGGTCAATCACAAAACGTCCGACCGCAAACTAAATACGTCTTAGGTATATATTTGACATATATAGAAATTAGGTATTGAACTCAAACAAATTGTTCATACAGTTGACTTAGCTATCTATTTGGATTCGCCATACACAAAAATAGAATAAAATAGCACACCTATTTAAGAAAATACAAAGACTGGATCTAGAACCCTCAGATAGATACAAAGAATTACAAACTCATCGACCTGTTCAGAAATATGTTTTCGAATGGACGGTACATAATGTCAATACCATTGAGTTCAGGTCACGAAGAGGATTATCCGTGTAAGCCCACCTTGACTCAGACCCGCTCAGAATAACATTTCTGTGAGGATTGTGAAATCCGTGTATGTCAATGTCAACAGTATCCATTTCAGAGCATTTCTCTTTGTTTCAGATCAACAATGCTGGTGAAGCATTCCATCCAGATAAGATGTCACTGTTTGATTCATCAATGTTTGACCGTATCCTCAGCGTTAATCTCAGGGCACCTGTAGTCCTTTCAAAACACGCATTAGAAGCCCTCAAAGTCACCAAAGGTAAGTACTGTCCGTTTATCCTCCAGTGAGAACTATGAATTGCAAAATTCCTCAAAACCGGGAACAGTCTATCAACACGTCAGTACGTTACACTGTAATGTATACCCTGTATCCCATAGTAGCTGCTGTTTGGTGTTTTGGAATCCCTGAAAAAACTATCATATAGTGATGTGTGGTCCTGCGCATAGAGCTCAGATCACAAATCAGTTGAAGTTAAGCAACGTTGAGCGCGGAGAGGTCTTGGATGGTGGCTGTGTTTGACTGCTTGACTCCTGAGAGTTTCTAGGACTTCAGTCCTGCCCACAACAAAGCACATGTGATACATGTGGTCTCACCTTAGGCAAGTGACTTTGTTCAAAATTGCCTGTGTTCACCCAGCAGAAAATGGTACCGAGATAAGTCATAGGACTATTAACCTTCTAGCGCCTCACAAGCGGTTTGGGTTATCCGGGGTAATAATAATCAGATTCTGATTACAGCGTCAAGTGAGCAACTAGTCAGATGGATACTAGGTGCTATATAAATGAATTATGATTGTTACGCGTACAAGTTGACATCCTGAAGGGAATGGTCACATCGATTTAAGAACAGCGCAAAAACAGACTAAAAGACTATTCCTGATTTGAGTTATTTTGCTATTCATTGTTTTCATTTGAGTGACTGTAGTTCAACGGCGCTGTTAGCAACAATAATTCTAGCAGTATCACAGCGGGGACAGAAATGGGCTTTACGGGCTGTATGTGGAATCAAACCCCGACCTTGGACGTGACGAGCGAACGATTTAACCACTGCGCATGCGCGCGCGCACACATACACACACACACACACACACACACACACGGGTACAAACGGCTGAACTTCCTTGGTCTGTATAACCCTTGTTATCCAAATGGTCTCGTGTTATGTAGTATGGATGACAGCCTCCCCTTCTTCAACCAGCCATTTGACCTGCATACAACGTGACCCAAATAACTTATTGATAGACGCCATACGAACGATACACGTTTAACATAGCAATTATAGACGGTTAACCGATTCAGCCTCCGCTTTTGTCGGCGGTGTTGTCTGGGTAGAAACGTCTGGAATAAGATATGACAGATTAATTGGTTATTTCTTATACGTATGCTCAGTGATGCAGGGGCTGTATCAGGGATGACTGCTCAGTTCGTGACTGGACCAACTGGTGTCCGTTCGAAGCAGTACGGTGGGATGTTTTCATACTTACTTCCAGTTCGCTGGTTTTGCAATCAGAAGAACTATTCATAAACATATATATAAAGTGACCTGGTTCTCTGAATTCGTACCCGTGAAGATCCGGGTTAGAGTTGTTCTTCAGCAACACATGCTTGTCGTAAGAGGCAACTAACGGGATCAGGTGGTCAGGCTCGCTGACTTGGATGACACGTCATCGTATCCCAATTGCATAGATCGATGCTCATGCTGTTGATCACTGGATTGTTTGGTCTACACTCGATTATTTACAGACCACCGCTATATAGCTGGAATATTGCTGAATGCAGTGTAAAACTCACCTCACTCAATCACACACTCACATTCTGCATCTAATATTGAGCTTACACATAAGAGCACAAGTGTCAATTTCAGGACACGATTTCATCTTGTAAATTATAGTATATAAACTAAACACCAAACTTTGATCAAACTTATCATATTGACAGTCTTTAAAGTACCAGTGCACTGCCTCCAATAAATGTGTGACACTGGTCCTATGGACCTGTGGCCGTTGACTTGAATGAATAAACGAACTGAATTGATAGAAGATTAATGGCTTGAGACATTTATCGTCATGAGAAATACAACAGAAGGCTGAACTGTTTATAAGAAATCACAATGGCTTTCAGAAAGCGGTCAAATGTGACTATAATATCTTTTATTCTACTTTTGCGTATGGCGAAACCAAATACATAGTTGAGTGACTGTTTGAAGAATTCATTTGATCGCTGACTACGTGTGCTGGTGCCTCGCTCTGGGTGTGGGTTCGAATCCTGGATGGGACTGAACCATAAGTACCTGAATGTGTACTTTACTAAAGAATATGTAATCTTAAAATTTTAACACTTGGTCCGGTTTTTTTAAATATTTTTCACTGATATTACTCGCGGATGCCAGTTGTGTTGACATAGACAGGGCTTTAAAATATTTTCTAGTAACATATAGTCAGTGATCTGCCTTCGTCTCAACCTATTGCGCGCTCTTCACGCCGAAGACGCGGATTCGAATCTCTACATGGGCACAATGTGTGAAGCCCATTTCTGGTGCCCCCCGCCTTGATATTGCTGGAATATTGCTTAAAGCAATAGTAAAACTAAACTCACTCACTCAATCGGCTGCAGGGGTGTGCAACGAAAACTTACCAAAAAAACAACCAAAAAACGTTTAGTTTTATTCGAAATGTTTCGACGTAATCGCGATACGCCAATGTTTCCAAATGCCATTTCCAGGTATGGGTAACACACGCCACCTCAAATCTTACAGCTGATTATGACCATGCCATTTTATCTTCGCCATCCACGTAATGCATATTTCTCCTTTCAGGAAGTATCCTGAATGTATCCAGTGTCACAGTCAACAACTACGTGAGTGAACTTGACCGTTGCAACGTCACATGTAGAACATATATTAGTAGCTGCATAGACGTATTTACCAACTATAATAAACTGTCAAATGTCTCACTGTAATAGATGGATCAAGAAAATGGATTTGATCCTGGTGTTGATCACGGAACGTAAAGACCTGCTCGGCATAATAGGTTCTTATTTGTTTATTTGTTGTTTAACACCGCGCTGAACTGTGGAGAAACACGTGCTGTGTTACATTAAAAATCGTCAAGTTAATTTTAGTTGTTTGTTTGTTGTTTAACGCCGCACTCAGCAATATCCCAGCTATATCTCGGCGGTCTGTACATAATCGAGTCTGGACCAGACATTCCAGTGATCAACAACATGAGCATCGATCTGCGCAAATGGGAACCGATGACATGTGTCAACCAAGTCAGCGAGCCTGACCACCTGATCCTGTAATAGAGTGTTATATTTTACGCATCTTTTTTCATTTAGTTTTTGTTCGTTTCTATTCAGCGAATGCTGACTTATGGCGTCTCAAAGGCAGGACTGGAACATTTCACAAAGGCTCTTGCTTTAGGTAAGCATGGTGAATCTGGCAGACGCAGATCAAATCGTATGATAATAGATTCATAGAAGCAATGGTGTTTATTTACCCATTTTCAGTAATTTACCCATTTTTAGTAATTTATATATAACTTCAAAACGCACCCTTTTGATAGATGAAACAGGTACTCGTTCTAAAGGATCTGCCTTTATAGCAGAGTGAGTTATATAACTTGCTTTTGACATGTGTTAAGTAACTATAGTATTTTCGATTCAGGGGCATGCAACTGAGATAGTGAATTCAGAGGAGTGAATGAATGTTTTTTTGTGATCCGGGTTAGAATAAGTCTTCAGCAACCCGTGCTTGTCGTAAGAGGCGACTAACGGGATCGAGTGGTCAGGCTCGCTGACTTGGTTGACACATGTCATCGTATCCCAGTTACGTAGATCGGTGCTCATACTGTTGATCACTGGGTTGTCTGGTCCAGACTTGGTTATTTGCAGGCAGATATTGCTGAGTGCGGCGTTAAACAACATACAGAAACATTATTCACTTCTCTTTTGGGTGGTCAGCCCAGGGTAGCCCAGGGGGCTAAAGTGTTCTCTTGTGCAAACTAGCATGATATCATGGTGTCAAACTAGCATGATATCATGGTGTCAAACTAGCATGGTGTCATGGTGTCTAACTAATGATATCAAACTGGTGTCTAACTTGCATGATATCATGGTGTCAAACTAGCATGGTGTCATGGTGTCAAACTAGCATGATATCATGGTGTCAAACTAGCATGGTGTCAAACTAGCATGATATCATGGTGTCAAACTAGCATGATATCATGCAAACTAGCATGATATCATGGTGTCAACTAGCATGATATCATGGTGTCAAACTAGCATGATATCATGGTGTCAAACTAGCATATCATGGTGTCAAACTAGCATATCATGGTGTCAAACTAGCATGATATCATGGTGTCAAACTAGCATGATATCATGGTGTCAAACAAGCATGATATCATGGTGTCAAACTAGCATGGTGTCAGCTTCTAACTCATTTTTAACTTCTACTTTTTAACATTATATTCTGTAATGAACACGGGGTGTTTGGGTTGTCTCCTGTTTCAAGGCGTTCGCTTGTCACATGGAAGTCCCGGACTCCATTGCCCGAATGAATACATTATGTGAAGCCGATTTCTGGTACACCCCGCCGTGATAGTGCTGGAATATTGCTAAAACGGCATAAAACCCAACTCACTCACTTATATTGCGCGGGCATGATAGACAACAAAACCATGAAGTGGGTAAGTCTCTATGTGTATTCGTTTGGAGGGTAAAGGTAACCAAGGCGTATGCGTGCTTCCCAAAATACAGTAAGGTAAGATATAACGTACGAATATCGTACAGTTACAATTTCCATTTTTCTTACAACAAATCTTTCGATCAAAGCTTCACCATCAAAGGCAAAATTAAATCGCGTGCAAATAAGACGCGAGATGATATTGCATGTGACCTTAACGCAGTTTCTCACTATCTTTCTTAATGGTACCAACATTTCTAGTGTAAACAGAAGGAGGGGTAGCCGAATGGTTAAAGCGTTCGCTCGTCACGCCGAAGACCCGGCTTCGATTCCCCACATGGGTACAATGTGTGAAGCCCATTTCTGGTGTCCCCCGCCGTGATGTTGCTGGGATATTGCTAAACTCACTCACTCACCATAATGGACATTGGGTTTTCTGTTGTGATGGGAGGCATTGGGAATATAATGCTGTCTCCTACTATATATTTACAGAGGTGGCATCGGCAGGGGTACGGGTTAACTGCATAAAGTAAGTATGAAATATCGTCATGGCAATGTGTTCGTAATTATTATCAACCCAGTTCTGAGTTTAAGCCTAAGAAAAGATTGAGCTTTGAGCCATTGGCTGTGTTTGTTCAAAACTAAAAATTCCGTATCGCCATAAAACTTGTAATTTTTCATTTATTTACACGAAACTGGTATTTTTTACACTTATATAGGTTCATGTTCCATTTAAAAAAAATAATACTTTTACTTCATGTAAATGAAATATAACAGGATCAAATTGATACTAGATACGTGCTTTTGTCTCCTCAAATCATAACATGACAAGAATACAATTGTTAATCAGGTTACAAGGGGCTGTGGGGTAGTCTAGTGGTTAAAGCGTTCGCTCGTCACGCCGAAGACCCGGCTTCGATCCCCCACATGGGTACATTGTGTGAAGCCCATTTCTGATGTCCCCTGCCGTGATATTGCTGGAATATTGCTAAAACTCGTAAAACTCACTATACAGGTTTGTCACCCCTCAGTGAAATGTGGGGATTCGTGACTGCTTTACCAAAGCGAAATCCGTGGCCAAAGGATTTAATTATTTCGCTGGCGTTACCTGGCCTTTGTGATCTGTTCCATTCTGATGTGAATGCTTTCCTATTAGATCAGGCGCTATGATGACCCCTGTGTGGGGACGGTTTGGCAAACTCACGGAGGAACGAGAGAAACAGGTCAGTGATTCTACTGTAATCTCTACAGTACTCGTGGAAATATTAATATAATGTTTTTGGGGCGTTTAATTCGTAGTTTTGATCACAACTAAATATTCTATGACTATCGTTTTCCCCAACTTTTGTTTTTCCCACATTTTGTAAAATCATACGAAATGTATTGGTTTACAGGGGAGCAAATCGTGTCCTTTTTTACCCCTTGAATTTTCATGTCAATTTGTACGTTTCTGATACAAGCTATAGTATGCAAATGGGATGTACTCTCCATAGGTTCGCGTACATAATATATTTTCTAAAAACGTCATATACAATTCATCCTTCATTTCTTTTATCATAATTGATATACAAAATAATTGATTTAAGGATTTTCTCAGAATATTTTTCATGCCTGTACACTTGTTGAAAATTTACTATTTTTACGAGTTCATTCATAGTTTTGTCAATTGCACAATTTGCTATGACAACGCACGTGCAAATGCACCTTCCCGTCTAAACAGTGCTGCAGGTAGTTGTTACCACCCATTGTTGATTGTAACATAATGTTTAACATGTTTCTAAATTTGTTGATAATATGCAAATATTTGTTATTTTTACCTGTAAAAGGGTATTTTGTATGATGATCAGGGGACCAAATTAAAAGGCCTATTTGGGAAAAACATAGTTATTTTAATATTTGTTTAAACTACCTATTTTCATAAAGTAATAAACAAATAAACGCCCCAAAAACATTCTATTTCTAATTCCGTAAGTACTCTAGTTATCTTTCCTTGGTATCCGACCACTTGAATGTGTCCAGAACTGGGGTGTCCGTTTAAGTTTTTAGGCAGTGGAAATCGTATAAGTAAACTGCAAACCAGTCTATTGTTTGACGGGTGGGCACTGAAGAGATTAACGGTACTCATACGTCTTGTGTTCTTCAGTCTAGTGGGGCGGTGGTTTGATTCCTCACATAGCTACAATGTGTGAAGACATTGTGTCCCCGCCGTGATATTGCTGGAATATTGCTAAAGCGGCGTAAAACTAAACTAAACTCACTCACTCTAAGCACCACAAGTAAGTTGGAGTTTTCTTTGCCGGCCCGATATCAAAAGCACGTGCGCGCGTATATGTGTGCGCGTGTGCATGTGCAATGCGTGTGTGTCCGTGTGGTTAAAATGGGGCGGTTGGGTAGTCTATACTAGTGGTTAAAATGGGGCGGTGGGGTAGTCTAGTGGTTAAAGCGTTCGCTCGTCACGCCGAAGGCCCTGGTTTGATTCCCCACATGGGTATAATGTGTGAAGCCCTTTTCTGGTCCCCGCCGTGATATTGCCGGAATATTACTAAAAGCCGCATAAAAGTAAACTCACTTACTCACACTTATGATATTTAGCATATATAATGTGATATCCATTCTTTACTATTTTCAGCTGGAGAAGAGCCTCACCCACTATTTCCACCCCATCCGGCGTCTTACAACCCAAGAAGACATCAACCACGCCGTTACGTTCATGTTGTCGGACAAGGCAAGTTTCATAACTGGTGCCAGCATACCAGTAGCTGGAGGAGCTCACATGCCCTTTGACGGTCGTGCCTTGCAACATCTCGAAAACAAGTACGGTTCCAGTGACCCTTTCCTGATGCCTGCACGTGAATAGGAGAAGGACGCATATATTGCTGAATAACAAGTCGTGAACCTTTTGCTTTTTATCGTTTGTTTTTTGCAATTTGTTTTGCTTCTTTCGAGGCGCAATCCACCATGCAACATGCAGTCTTTTTGCACAATACTCCATGCAGCATGCAGTCTTTTTGGAAAATCCACCATGAAGGATGCAGTCTTTTTGCACAATACTCCATGCTGCATGCAGTCTTTTTGCACAGTCCTCCATGAAGGATGCAGTCTTTTTGCACAATACTCCATGCAGCATGCAATCCTTTTGCACAATCCTCCATGAAGGATGCAGTCTTTTTGCACAATCCTCCATGAAGGATGCAGTCTTTTTGCACAATCCTCCATGAAGGATGCAATCCTTTTGTACAATCCTCTATGAAGGATGCAATCCTTTTGCACAATCCTACATGCAGCATGCAGTCTTTTTGCACAATCCTCCATGAAGGATGTAGTCGTTTTGCACAATCCTCCATGCAGCATGCAGTCTTTTTGCACAATCCTCCATGAAGGATGCAGTCTTTTTGCACAATCCTCCATGCAGCATGCAGTCTTTGTGCACAATCCTCCATGAAGGATGCAGTCTTTTTGCACAATCCTCTATGCAGGATGCAGTCGTTTTGCACAATCCTCCATGCAGCATGCAGTCTTTGTGCACAATCCTCCATGCAGCATGCAGTCTTTTTGCACAATCCTCCATGAAGGATGCAGTCGTTTTGCACAATCCTCCATGAAGGATGCTGTCTTTTTGCACAATCCTCCATGCAGCATGCAGTCTTTGTACACAGTCCTCTATGCAGCATGCAATCCTTTTGCATAGTCCTACGTGCAGCATGTAATCTTTTTGCACAATCTCCCATGCAGTATGCTGTCTTTGTGCACAATCCCCAAAAACGTTATTTACGTTCCGCCTAGGAGCTAATCGTATTCCTTAACAACGAAATATTTATTTTGTAAATGTTCCTAAGAAACTAATATTGCTGTAACAAGTGTTGCTATAATTACTAATTAATCAAACATATACAAGTTTAATAACGGTTAACACGCAATGCTGAAGGGTTTACCAAAGCTGCGAAAAGTGGTGATCTCCTTGTCGCAAGTCACATGAATGTGATTTGTTGTGAAGAAAAACATTGGCATCTCTTATCAGCTTTTCTGCTGGAATTTTGCAAAGCTCAGCTTGAGCTTGGTTTCTTCGTAAATAATTATCATATATGTTTACGTTGCTTCACAAGCACCTTGCATATCTTTACATGCACATCACAACACGTGTGCACAAAGAGGAAATCAAATTTACCAGTGTCCATTTTTTCAGTGTCTAATGGACAAACAGGAAAGAACTCAACCCTACAGTAAATTGAACATAAATATTAGATCACAAGTGCCGTGATGTTGCTACAAGCGCCAACATAAGCTACTGATTGCGTCATAATCAAAAGTGTCATGTATGAAATACAAATGTTTTCATAATCCCATAATTAATAACTTCATTTACATAATGAATACTATGTTAGTAAAAAAATAATAACAATCATGATTTGTTGTCTTTTAACCATTTCCAATGGGTTTATTAAGATTCATTACAGACAGTTCGGAATAGCCTGAGATCGGTGTATGGAATAGCCCCACGATAAGGTGAGGAATATCCCGACAAGAATGTTCGACCGAGTTAACAATTGCCAATAAAATATATTGACGATGTAAACCATTGTAATACCGGATGTCTGGTAGACTTATCTTCCCACATTATCTATATAAACCCTTGAATCCAGGAAAAGGGGATCGGGTGGCTTGACTCACTATCCCAATTGCGTGGATCGTTGAGAATGATGTCAGTCATTCAATTGTCTGGTCGAAATCTACGACCCTGTCCCACATAGTAGAGAACAGCTGGTGCATCATGTATCGGTCCACTCTGGTTTTGCTGCCAGGCTGCAATTGATAGATGCTCATAGGGTAAGTCACTGGATTGTCTGGTCCCTACTGTATCAGTGAGTGAGTTTAGTGAGTTATTTTTAACGCCGCACTCGGCAATATTTCAACTATATGGAGGCGGCCTGTAAATAATGGAGTCTGGACCGGACAGTCCAGTGATCAACATCATGAGCATCGATCTACGCAACTGGGATACGGTGACATGTGTCAACCAAGTCAGCGAGCCTGACCACACGGTCCCGTTAGTCGCCTCTTCCGACAAGCATGCTGAATTCTAACCAGGATCTTCAGTGAGTGAGTGAGTGAGTGGGGTTTTACGCCGCTTTTAGCAATATTCCAGCAATATCACGGCGGGGGACACCAGAAATGGGCTTCACACAATGTACCCATGTTGGGAATCGAACCCGGGTCTTCGGCGTGACGAGCGAACGCTATAACCACTAGCACACACACACACACACACACACACACACACACACACACACACACCGGATCTTCAGGGGTCCGTACTGTATCTTTTACACACAGCCATCATATAACAGAGTATGGTGTTAAACAACAAACCAAACCACGACACTGAAGAAAGATTAAATTCATCATTCAGAGACATGTTAATGTTTTGTGATGGCAATTAGATGAAGAACCATTTTTTAAAAAATGTGTCGTTGAATCACGTGCACGTAGTGTTGAAATGAGACTGCAAGGTACATACACAGAATCCATATTGCCCTAGGTGCGCACTATTCATTTATGTACAGTGATTCGCTGTGTGTGATACGTTTACTGAAATATAAACAACTATCGTCACTGCCGATGAGTGGTAATATCATACGAGTCCTGGAGCAAGTGAGTGTGACTTTACACTGCCTTTGGCTGCCACACATATATAGTAGGGGACACCAGAAATAGGGTTCACACATTTTACCATGTGGGGAATCGACCACGGATCATGCGCGTGACGAGCATTCGCATTAACCACTCGGCTACCACACCTTCCCAGTCCTGGAGTGAGTGAGTGGAGGTTTTACGCTGCTTTTAGCGATATCACAGCGGCGGACACAAGAAATGGCTTCACACATTGTCCTCATGTGGGGAATCGAACCCGGGTCTTCGGCGTGACGAGCAAACGCTTTAACCACTGGGCTACCCCACCGTCCCACAGTCCTGGAACAAACGTATCATAATAAATACATAATAGCATCATGCAGAACAAATTGACAATCGCAGCTCTGGTGTAAAGTTAGTAATGGAAGCAATGAAATAAATTTGACCTGTAAATGTAAATAAGTCAATACAAAGCTAGAAAATGCAAGGGTATGAATGAGAGAGTGAGTGATATGTCTTTTCTTAATTTGTATAATTTTTGCTCTTTCAAAAAAACCTGTAACTATTATGACAATGCTATGAATGATATGCATACATGTAAACTGTTATCAGGAATATATAAAAATGTAAATGGGCGGGCTGCATCTGTCACTATTCCAGCAAATTCCCGGTGAATACAACAAATGTCTTTCTTGCATTTTGCTTCTAACTGAAGAACGAGTGAGGCATTCAGCAAAACGTAGCAAATATGTCAACCTTAGGAAATGTCAGGCTTTGCATCCCAAGAACCATTGTTTTCGGTGCCTTGGGTTTGATATACCTCCTTATCTGTTGGCCGACATGCTTAGAGTACCCAGGTTAGCTTACAGTAACACAGGGGCGGTGGGGTAGCCTAGTGGTTGAAGCGTTCGCTCGTCACGCCGAAGACTCGGGTTTGATTCCCCACATTGGTAGAATGTGTGAAGCCCATTTCTGGTGCCCCCCATGATATTGCTGGGATATTGCTAAAAGCGGCGTAAAACCAACTCACTCACTCATTCTCAGGGAACAAACGCTTGTCTTTGGGAAAAAAAACATTGTGCAGGAGATGGTTGATATAAATTTACCATATTCCTTCCCGAATGATAAAATTCAATTACCCGACAAACATAAAGAAAACGATTCCCCGATACGAGATGTGTGCCCCATCTTGCTTGACTGTAATGAAAGAAGGCTGTTAAAAAGATCACTCAGATTAAGGGGAATGTAATTTGAACAGTGTCATGACGTCAGCCTATTATGACGTAACTCCAGAATTATCTTTATTCCCGGATAAAATTTAGTCGTCACATCTGAGTTTTAGTGAAGCTGCTTAGATAACTTCATATACTCGGCAAACTTAGAAAGTTGACACCAACATTGTTGGTAATAATTGGGACGTTGTAATTCTGTTTAGTTTCTTGTTGTCCCATACACACGACATTGACATGTAAGTTGATTGAGTATGAACATTTGCCATAAAGCGTGATAAAAGTGAAACACAACAATCACGTGCAGCGAGTCGCGTGATACCTTAACGGTCTCACATGCACTGGAATGTAAGCGCACAGAAAAGAGAAAGTTTAATGTGTTTAAGTTTAAAGCGAGTATCTTGCAACTAAAAGCAACGTGAGCGAGTACTAGAATCTGCACTTTACTAAGAAAGTGTAATCCCAAATATATCATATGTTAAACGTGAGCGTACCATGTGTAGGTTCAATGCTGGACATTCCGTTGCAGAAGGTGCACGCATCAACCTTTGAGCTAACCTGGTCAGCTAACCTTTGAGAGACCTATGACCGTCCAATCAAACGCGAGACGGCCGAACGGATTTAACCAATCAGACAACGACTACTTGTTAGGGTTCGGCGGGACTTACAAAACGGTTTTTGGATTTTCTCTTCCCTGGTCGCTGACACCGATCTATCAACAAACGAAAATCCGCATAAAACACAAATATTTGATCTGCAGTATATACGCTTATGGGTTTCTGATGACATGGTTACTATTTGCTTATAAATTTGCAAGATGACATCCTTGAATATTGACAAAAACGCTATTTTCAGCGACTGTTTACTCATTGCGTGTATCACTCGGATGCGATCGTGCGGAAAATAGCTTTCGAAATCGTTCGAGTTTTTGAGGTAAAGGTTCAAACGGTATGTGCGAATATTTACTTTCGCGATTTGGTAAGCTGTGTTCTGATTCGGT